GTCGACCAGCCACAAGACCCGTGGGAGGTGAGGGAACGGCTTCTGGCAGAGACCAGGAGAAGAAGAGAGAAGAAGATTTTTAGTGCCGTCAGAAAGCGACGTTCATTCTCCCCATCGCTGGGGTCGGCGGCACGGGGCGTAGCCCTTACATATTATACATATTATTACTATTATTATATATATATATACATAAGGGATGCTTGTGCTATCTTGTGCTTATTCTAAGACCTGAGAAATAGAGAGAGAGACAACATGAAGGAAAATCCTGAGAGACCACAGCTGCCAAAAAAGCTGAAGAATCCTCAGGGATCCTTAGGGTAAGCTGGAACACTTCGTGAACATCTTGAAATGCAACGCTGCACAGGACAGGCCACGTGCGCAGCAGGTTGGAGAGTTTCTTGCTCTTCGAGCCCAATCGCAAGCGCTCTTCTACTTGAGAACTCCTGCACAGGATCACTTCCAGAGTCAGAAGACGGACAAAAAGCACCTTTCAGCAATCAGGCTAGGTTGTTACCCCACCGCAATATCTCTGGGATGACTTGAGTTTTCATGGCCAACCACCAGGTCACCACTCACACAAAGCTTGCTCTTGGTCAGTCCAGCTTGCCCATGTAGCTGGGATAATCAAATCCCGAACTTGTTTGGCAATCTTCTTCTTGTCTTTAAGGCCTGAGTCAATGCAATAGGGATCGGGTGAACAGATCCAAGCATACGTTCAATCAGACATGGCAGAAACGGCCCTCCTGGAAGCGTGAGAAGCCCCCAAACGGATAAACAGTAAGTTAAACTGATTGACTTTCGAATAACCGTTACTAGTCACTTTGGGACTCTCCAACAGAACGTTCTCCGAACAACTCGGCCAAGGATCGAAGGTCGGTGGCGTGCACCATTTGGTGCGCCTCCACCAGGATCTTAATCGACTTTGCCTCAAGGCATAACATTGGTGTGGTGAACAAATCAATGCAAGTCACCTCAATCCATAACACATCATAACACCAAGAACAGCTTTGACGTTCTGACTTCCGTTTACAGGTTCTCCAGCACGCTTGCACGTCCTCAAGATTGTCTAGTGCCTGGTTGAAAAAAAACGAAAGGAAACCTTAAGTGCTTGATACGACCCTTACAAAATCAACTCATAAGCCTGACTTGCATAGGCACAAACAATATGTTTGCATTCCATCGCCTGGAGGGGCAACTCTTTCCACCCACGTCGGGTGCACACTTGCCACCCTACCCTGAAAAGACTTCTGACACAACAAAAGTGTAGATCTGATGTAGGAAAGTGACAAATCCGGCGTGAACCTTCTGTACGGGTTCCATGTTCTTCTAAGAACTTCTAAGTGTCCTAGATTGGTACACACCAGTTTTGCCCTAGACTTAGCAGCAAGGTCTTGCCGTTTTGCCTTAGACACAGATTCAGAGGAGGCCGCAGGTCATTCCACTCCGCCCCGGCGCCATAGGTCCAAACGTGTTCATTTGTGGTTTCCCTGTCGTGTGACCCTGGGTGTTCGGCCTCCAGTTCCACAATCTGGCCGACAGGTTCCAGGATCCAGCGAACCCCTTAGAGATCAGTGAAGAGTGTTTAAAAAAGAGAGACGCAGTAGACAAAAACATCAGAACAGCGGAAACTCCATAGAATGAAAAAGGAACTGACACATCTATGGGCCTCTCCCTGGAGACGGGCAAAGTTCAGGTCCGGGCGATTCTTTAGGCCGATTGACTGGCAAAGTTGCCATTGCCAGGCCTCGCCAGAGAAAAAAACAACAGTGACTAAAGGAGGGTAGAGGCTGAAAGCGCCGAAAGGCATTTAAAAAAAGTGAGTGAAGAGGCAAACATGGGGCAAGGGACCAGAAGACAAAACTAAGAAACACAAAATAACACAAATACCATTAGTTAGCAACTGTGGCATTTCGTGTTTAGCTTCCTTAACAAACTGTTGCATACGAGCTGGCTGGAGTTCCTGGCAAATTGAACCTGACATTGCTCGCACTGTTTGAGTGCGCGTAATTGACAAGAGCCGGTTTCTTGTATAGTTGAGGTTGCTATGTTGAAACTCTATTTATGTTGCTGCACAGAAAATTACCTGGACTGACAAAGCTGTCCATGTTAAAAATGAAAAGGGATCTCCCAATAATATACTGCTGCATGTCAACAAACGCAAAAACCTTCCACACGTGTGCACAACCAAAGTGACGCAGTGGCACGGTCCCACCTCGAGCCCATGACATTTGGAATTTGAAGATGGCGGTGTCTCCCAGTGGCCTGAAGATCCACAGCCCCTGTGCAGAATTCGCAAACAAGCTTCACAATTCTCACGCACACATTTTGTGCAAACGCAATTGAGCTACCTGCTAGAAAAAGTTGCGTACTCTTTGCTTGGGATGGACATTTGTTTGTTATCCATACTCCGGTAGTAAACCACGGAGTTTTGGATGGCAGAGAAAAATATCTGGTCATATTATCACGGCAGGCTCGGTTACCACAGGCCTTCTGTCCACGCTCTGGGGGACCGGCTTGGCATGTGCGGCTCACCTTCGAACGGCTCCGAAGCTTAGAGCTCGAGATCTCCATAGATAAGGGGAGAAGGTGTAGTGTCTTGTTGGAGCATGGATGCCATCAGTTCTATACATCATGATCCTTGGATGTGTCCAATATTGGAATGACATGCTGAAACGTCTAACCGTTTAACCTCTCACCCACGTCTCATTGCATCGATCCTATCCTTTCAAGAAGGATGTCGCTGAAAAGCAACCCCATCACTCATGAACGCTTCAATGCAGGAACCCTGATTTCTCCGTTCCTCCAGAAATTCAACATAGGTTCCCTCATACCAATTGACGAGGTGACTTTGATTGTGATTCATGAATTGCCCAGCACTTCTCTACAGCATCGAATCGCACCTTGCCAGTCTACCGAAAAGGTCACACCTGGCAGGAAAGAAACAACGAGGAAACTTTGAGAATCACAACAGCTGTAATATGCATTATCATGTTCATCGTGCAACAAACTGCTGCCTTTCGCCCAGCAAACCCGTCCACAAACCCAGTCCTCCTGGAACAAAGACATTATTCACCGGCGCAATGATGTACCCGATCATGTAATAGCCTCCACAGCGCCAAGGCCCACAAGTCCATGGTCCGGGCGGACGTTTTGACCGGACTGGCACTTTAGAGGCGCTCTGTTCTTTCTTGTCCAGTCCACCGCTCCCCATAGCAGCCATAGCAAAATTGAACAAAATCACAATTTTATGCATCAGCAGCTGCAAGCAGAATTGGTGGCCGTCCTTATGTTTTCAAGGTGTTTGATGACAGCCCTGTTGCTTCTGTTGACGATTGTCTTGTCTGGATAAGCCTCTGGAAGGGGTCCAGGGAGGGGGCTTGAGGGGGCGCACCGAGCAAGCAAGCTGCGCCTCCCATGTGGTTTTCTTGATCCATCATTCCTGGCGGTGGTGTGTTCAGCCCACAAAAGCCGGTGAGACGATCCTTGCGGATGTCAAAACTAGAGCAACGAGGGCTTCTACCAATCGACCATCAGATACGTGTGTTTAAAATAATGCAAATGAAAATGCAAAAGCAATGCAATTTGCTTTGTTGTTGCATTTGTTTTGTGTGGTTTGTTTTTTCCTGGTACCACTTCTGGACTTATGAAAACTTTTGCCGAAGCAATATTCGCTGTACGCTCCTAGGAAAAATAACGAAAATAAAGGAAGTGAAAAGGGGACGGAAAGAATGCGAAAATCAAGCACAAAAAAAATGTGAAAATACAGCGACAAAAAAAAGGTGTTTAAAAAGCGACAAACACGCAGAGCTACAGTTTTTTGCTTTTTTTTGTTGCTTTACTTTTGCTTTTTGTGATTTGCTTTTAAAAAAGTTATTTTGGCTCCTTGTATCTATGGCTTACGCGCCGAACTCAATCCATTTGTAGTGAGCATGGTGTCGAGCTCTCGTCACCACAACTTTGCAAGTGATGTCACGGTCGATCTTTGTAGAGTCTCTATGAACTATGAAGGGGCGGTGGTCCAACTTTTGCAACCAACAGCCTAGTGAAGTGTCTATGTCGCTGCTACTTACCAAGCAACGCGCAGGCTTATATGATAACAGCAAATAACTTATGCAGCTATAAGAATGGTTCCACTACAGCGGCTTTATATAATTGGAATTCTACTGCCACCAAAAAGTACTTATATACATATTCAACGCACTCTCATCTGCGAATCCTAAGTCACGATCAGCGATGTGGCAACCATATATTTCATGCATTGCAGGAATGAAAGCTTTCACAGCTGGCAAATAGCACGAAGGAGTGCTCCAGGCTAATGCTCTCACCCCATTGCGGGAATGCTGGTTGTCAATACGCCTACAGGGCCTACACCATGCTGAAGTCAAACCAGCCAAGCAAAGCGCAAACAATGACTTGAACGCAACCAGCAAATACAAGTACAAGTGAAATGCCCTGGAGCAAAGCTATTGTCTGAAACAGCCATGAATCCAATCAACACATCGGAGGACTCCAAAACACTGCTTACAATGCTGATGAATAAAGGCGATCATGCCTTTAAGGATGAGCGACAACTAACTAGTTTCGTTCATGCGAACTGCGAACTTTTGTTTTCTTGTGTCCGGTCTTCTGCTTCCAACACGCAAACCAAAATGCCAAGCACCCTTTCAGCAAAGCTAACTTCTGGACCTTCGTCGTGCATCATCAATGTCATGTTTCCTGGTAAGCCAAGATGATTCACAACTTCAGTTTCAGTGTCCTATCACGTGATCGCCCCAAATATCCATTGTAGCCTGTGCGAGTTCCAACCCTACAATTGCTTGGTCTCGATCTAGATGCTCAACAGCTGTGAAAGTTGGCAGCTCAAAAGGCACTCTTGACATGAAAATTCAGCTACCCAACGTGGGCCAAGTCCTCCTTGGTAGAAAGCCATTAATGATGTCACCGGTTCTTCTCTGTTTTGGGCCTCCGCGTGCATATGGCATGCATGCAAGTGTTACCCTGTGGCATGCGGAGCCGAAACCTTGCGTTTCACAATAGCTATCAAACAGCGCGTGCAGCTCTTCGATTCAAGCATCCCTCCGGTCTCGCTTTGTTTAGACAGTAACTAGCCGAAGTGTGAAATTCTGCCCTCTCCAGACTCCGGCCTCTGTTTGCTCACCAAAGAAAGGCTCGAGCCGAGGGCTTTGACAGGAATGGCATCAAGTGATCAAACCATTTCAGATTGGCTTCACCTAGTGACCTAGTCTCTCGGTTGGTTAGGGTTGTCGAAAATATGGGCCCCAGGTTGCTGGCATGCATCAAATGCTAAACTGTAACATGCAGATCGGTTTCATCTACTGCAAACACAGACTCAAACAAGGCAATGTCTTCTTGGATTCCAGAACTACACCCAGGTATCTATGCGCAGGTGTCCTCAAGTTTGTAGATGGTCCGGCTCGACGTTCGCGTGGGAGTTGCGCCGAGCTCTCAGGCATCTTACAAGTTCCAAGAAAGAAAACATGTGTTTCTATTCTTTTGTGGGGGGTGGAGTAGACCGCTAAGAAGAGTCATAAGCTCGCTATAGCAGCTCGTAGGTACTCAACGCAGGATAGCTCACGCTTCTATTCATTTAGTTTCTAGATATTTTGGCTTTCGCATTCAACCTGAGCTAGGCTGCCCACACCATCCGCGTCCATCTCAGAGAAGTCCTGTGCCAGGGCGCAAGGGTGGGGAATTCAGAGCTTCCCTAGGCTAGCAGGAATTGCGGTTTTGTTCCGGTCCTTCTAAAATTGCAAATGTATATATTTACTGTATACATCGATATGTATATATGTATATAATATACTGCATACCCTGAGCATGAAAAATGTCCCAAACACGGACACATCCTCCAGAAGGCAAACGCTTGCAAGAACATTTTGTGGAACACAAAGAGTGCCACTCCGAACCGATGGTCGAATTTGTGCGCTGCCGCTCCAGTGTCTCGTGTAAATGGCCGTGTAGGCATGACTCGACAGCAACAATTGTGGTTCTACCCGTGTCCATGGCCGTGGGGCGCAGCATTACAGTTACCGCTTGATTTGGTAGCAACATTGCTGGATGAGACGGTCACTGCCCGGCATGCAGAAGGACAGTTCTGCTAGTCTTGCTGTGGCACAAATGGGGCATTGCTGTTTTGACAGTGTTGCTGGATGGTGCTTCTTTCCTTGTTGCAGCGACATGGCATGACAGTGTTGCTTTGCTGGTGTTTCTGAACGACCTCTCTGTCTAGAAGAGGTGCGACATTGCAGCATTGCACTGTTGGTACTGTTGCTCGAAGTAGGAATCAGATATATACACAAAGAACGATTGAACACGACCACAAACATCAAACATCCCTCCACCATCTAAACTGTCCCCTTGCCTGATAGAGCGTGTCAGATTGCCAATGCGATGATCGGAACTACGAACAACATGGCATAGAGTTTGCAGACAAGAGTAGCTGTCCAAGGAACGATTCTCAGCCTCCATGCTTTCCCAATTCATCCCAATTCCAACCAAAATACAATGAATGTGCTGGCGCTCAGCTCCTCCCCTGCCTTGCCCCACAAACAGGCATGGTGCATGCTTATATCAGGACATGTTCTCCATCGGGCTGGTTGTATTGACGATGGTGACGACATGTGACTACAAAAACATCGATCAAACATCAAACCCGCCTGAATCCAAGATGACCTAGAACACGTCTCTCGAGCATGTTGCAAGCACAGCGCCTCAAGAGCTCTGCCAGGCATTGTTCCAACGTTCCTCGGCCAGGCGTGGTTTTTGGAGGAAGGGCTGTTTGGGGGGATGATTGTGGAGGACGGGATGGGGATAAGGCTTTTCCCAGGCTGCTCACTGCTGAATAACCTTTGTGGGGCAAGGAGACATCATTGCCCTCTGGTGCCTCAAAGAGCACAATGAAAACTAGGATAGACTTTCCAAACACATGGAAACAGGAAGCCTTGCAAAATCACCTACAGAGCACAATCGCACTGAGGATACTGTGAAATTACCATGATCCCGAGTGATGCTCGCATGGAAACATCCGATTCTCTCAGTGTTTCCTCTTGATGAAAATGTCTACAGGACAGGACGTGAGGAAAGATTTCCAGACTCTGGAAAAAGTTGACTCTGGGATATTCATAATACATAGCTTCGCCGGACATCCTATTTTTGCTGCTGTTGCTGCTGTTGCTGTGCTTCATTCTACCTCCTCTTCATCAACACAGAGGTCTGCCTGGCATGTTTCTGGAGTTTTTCTTTTGCTCAAAATGAGCAAAAAATATTTAATAGTAGTGTGGTATCTCAAAATAGTACTGTGGCAGATAGCCTTGGCTAAAGGCCCCTTCTCATTTGCCATTGGACCGCAGCTTTTAACTCAAATCCTCCGGACCCAACGGACATTGACCTTTCTCGCCGGACTTCAGCATGCCCCCTTTGTCTGCTGAGCAACAGATTGAGGCCAGCTGGTAAGCTTCAACTTGAAGTTTGTTCCCCATCGTCCCATCGAACTCGCACGGCTTTGCAGGCGGTCATCAACTCCCTTGATCTCATCATCGACCAGCTGGAGCGCATAAGATTCAGTCACTTTAAGTGATTTTTCTCGTCGGACTGTATGTTCAATGGGCTAGTGAGTCTAAGATCATTCCTAGTCCGTTGCTTTGGAAGTTCCTCCATCTCTGCCCATCGATTTAGCATTCTGCCTGTCCGTCGGACTGTTCAATTGTTGACCATCAGATTGGAAGTCAGTCAGCTTGCACTCAGGTCAAGAAATTCTCTTAGGCGATTTGGATGACGGACGGTACTTTGATGAACGCAATGAAGATGGTGAAGATGATCCTTGCAGAGAGAATTTTATCAACAACTTGGAGGCCTTAATTGTGCCCTGGCTCATGATCTGTCTTTAGGGTATTTGAGTGTTGTTGCGCACGAACAATGATATGTCAATGAGTGCGTATGTGAAACTCAGGAACAGATTTCGGCTTTGAGACGACTCCGGACATTTCTGAGACCCCCTCAATTGCCTTTTGAGCTCTAATGTGATGCCAAAGTGAGGAAGATCTCAGAGTCAATGGTCCCCAATGGTTTTGAATGGTCCCAATGGCCCTTATTGGTTGAAACGGCCCCCCAATGGTCCCCATTATCCAAAGTGGAGGACTGGGACTTGCAAGATACGGACCTGATCTAGATCACTTTGGAGCTTTTAATCGACCCCAGTCAAATGATTGAGTCTTTGGAATCTAGCGGATGGAATCAACCAGTGAGCCCTGAATGGCCATGAGCGCAAAAGACTGCTGGCAGCTCTTCATGTTTCATTGTTTTGAGTACGACGGACATTGGTCATCGTTGACATCGCCGGACATCGATCGACCTCGACGGGCATGAGTCAAGCTGCAACGGACCGTGATCGCGCTTGCCAGGATATCGTGTGGCTTCCACCTACGGCGGACTGTCGGGGTCCTCAATTTGAGCACATTGGGCTTCATGGCGTGTTGCATGGAATGACATGATAGATGCAAAACATTTCAGTTCTCTAGTCGACCCCAGCACCGACATAGTAGACAGACTTTGACCGACCTCAACGGACTTTGTAGATCGAGAGGACTTCGACCTTTGACATAATTAATAATAGTAGATCAGCCTGCGCAAAGGACTTCGCTCGGTCTTTTTAAAATGATTCATCGTGAAGCGTGCCAGGCTAAGCTGCTTTGTGTGGCTTTGACCTGCGACGGACTGTCGGGGGCCTCAATTTGAGCACGTTTGGCTTCATGGCCAATGAGACGATGTCCAGGGTCAAAGGTCAACAAAGCTGTTGGCAACAGATCTTTTACCTCACCAGCTGGGATTCAAATTTGCTCAGACAGTGATGTTTCTCAATGTACGTCTTCTCTCTGCTCCTTTTTTATCTCAGCTGAGATGTGCAAACATAACCCGTTCATCACTGTCTTCGCTCGTTTTTTCGTCGAAGTCGTCTCAGGCTCAGAGGGGCTGTGTGTGTGTGTGCTCCCGGGCGCGGTTTGGTTTTGGTCCGTGTACGTTGGGTGTACATTGGGGCTTGGGCGCCGCTGTGGGGAGGTGTATCCGCAATAAAAGAGAGCAATCAAAAAGCGTAAGCAAGGAATGGACCAACATCAAGAGAACGGTGAGTCAATAACCGGCTGAGAGAGAAGAGTAATACAAAGTTGGAAATGAGTCTTCCCAATGGTTAGAGTCCATAACCAGCATAGGATACAACAGCTCAAGAGGAAGGAAAGAAGAGGAATGGTGGAACCACTGTGATGTGAAGACGAGAACCGACCCATTCTCTTGATGTTTGGTATAAAACAAAGAGGATACAACAGCTCAAGAGGAATTGATGTTTGGTATAAAACTCACTGCAGTCTGTGGAGAGTTTTGAGAGATTTGACGTTCATGGAAGTTGCATGGTCCACGTGAGTTGATCAGTCCAAGTCCGAGTGTATTTGAAAATTTGGAGTTTTGGGGTGGATCGATCTTTTGCATGGTTTGTGGTCCAACGGACTTGATCGTACTTTTGCAGCATGAAGCGAGCTTAGGTTATATTGCTTCATCTGGCTTCGACCTCCGACAGACCATCCGGGACCTCAATTTGAGCATGCTGGCAAGCAGTTTCAGTACTGTTCCAGTCACCTTTGCGTAGTCTTTCTCTGCGCAAATTGTGACCTTTGAGTTGTGATCCCTTGGCACTGTGCTTCATCATGAGATTTGCGACCCAAACAGCCGCAGACTGGCTCGTCGGACTGGCCCTGTGCATGTGACCCATGAAGTCATACATCATGATGTCAGGTGATAAATGATGTCATCATATATCAGCCATCTATTAATTCAGGTCAGATCAAATGTCAGTTTCTTTTCATTCACTGGATCTGTGGGGCCTCCTGATTGACTTTTGGAGCTATGGCAAACAATGGC